ATATCCCTCTACACAGTTCAGTTAAATAGTCAAACTTTGAGTTTATCAGAAAATGTATATTATGAAAACAAATGTTGGAATTAGAACCAAAACAGGCTTTACAGCTTGATGAGAACATGTTAAAGTTCCATTTGGAACTTTTATTCTTCAGTTCTGTTCTTAGAATAACACAGAATCCAAAACATTGATTTGAAATTTCTAATGTCTAACGCAACATAAAGCAACACCCATGGGCGACATTTGACTCTTGAGTCGGGGGGCAAGAAAAATAATTGCCCCCCCTAATGTTGCCCATGGCAACACCCATACATGAGTGATTTAAACGCCATCTTCAGGTCATACATCACTCCAAAATCAAAAGGAAAAGTATGATTTTGGGGTGAAATTAGACAATTTTACTACATCCTACTTTCATCGTCCAAGGTTTCTCTTCGCATTTTATTCGACTTGGGTCGGATTGCCAAAAAGGAATCTAAATCTTTGAGTAAAGTCACGTGCTTCACCAGCGAAGGCTCAGATTTGCAGATGTTGTCCCGTGTAAACGCCATCTGATGATGAGCTCTGCTCTGTTCATCTTCTGATGGATATCAGAAACGGTCTCTCTGTTTTAACCAAGCGGGCTGCTGCGATGTTAACAGTTTTAATGTCATGTTTAACATTATCACACACATGTGGCTGTAACACACCCACCCACCACTCACACACTCACATCTTTCCCACTCCACTCCAGCAGTGAATTATGCAAACCCATTTGGAAAGTGGGCTTTAAGTGAGAGCAGATGTTGGATGTATGCATTAGGCTCAAAAAAGACAAATATAATATTTAAGATCTTGTACAAATATTGCATTAACAGACGAACGGCTGCCATTTTTGCAATGTAATACCTCCAAACATGATCTACACTTGCTCACAGATGTTAAAAATCACACTTTTAATGGCTAAACAAACCCCTGACCCTTAGTATTATACACTTGCACAGAAATGTTTGTGTTACAGACATAAATGATTCCTCAAACCACGCGTCTCGTTGAGGAGAGATGTGCTAGCACTTCTACATGTCATCAGACTAAGCCATTTTGCCTTGAAAACAATACAATGGGTCAAAAACTCTGAGACTTAGTGTGGGCACTTTTGACTTGAGCAAATGAACAACCACTTAGCAACCACCCAGAACACCCTAAGAACAATCCATAACAGAACATCCTAACAATTATTCCTAGCAACCACATACTGTAGCAATGTGCTAACATCTGAGAATGTAAATGTGTTTTTAATGCAAACCAAAAACGAATTCACTTCAAGTAAAATTACACAGTATATGAGCTGAAATTATATGTAGTGTGAAAAGCGCTATACAAAATAAACTTTAATTGAAATGAACATATGGTGCTGATTTTCAGGAATAAAACCGAATAAATAAATAAATAAATAAATAAATAAATAGTGGAATAAATGCTGAAGAAATTCCTGGATAGGATCTTTTATCCTTTCAAAATGCCAAAATCCAGAGATTCATTTTCTTGAATGAGTAAGCCATGGGAAACATGCTAATGTACTGGAGACACTCATTTACTACAAACAAAAACAGCGTCACATCTTGGACACCAACCAACCACGTCAGAGCCAACAAGATAATATCTGAGTTACTCAACTCATTGTTTTAAACTCAAACTAACCCATTAATCCATAATTATTGCAGCATATATGACGACCACACATACAAACTAACCGATAACCCCTACATAAAAAGTCTGTGAGGATCTGTGAGAACTAGATATAACTGATGACTTCACTCAGGCCAGCTGTCCTAGAACATCCAGATGTTCAATGTATTTCATGATGCAGAGACATTCATTTATTTATTAGTTGAGGGAGAAGGGCCAACAATGTGGGTTAATTGACCTATCGGTAAGCCTCTCCCCTCGAATGCAGACTAGCCAATGGCAGTCGAGTATCAGTTGCACGGGGAGTGGAACTTGGACATCAGCGCCATAGAGAAACATTAGAAGATCCAAAGCTCGCATCGATTTTATGGGGTTTATGCTTCAAAAATGGAAAAACGATGTGCCTGGGGTACTTGTACCACTGATACCAGGTATCCTGAGAGGATAGGCAATAGAATTTATTTTATTCTTTATTCTATTTCCTAAACCCAAACAAAACAGAGCGGTTAAAGTTAGTGAGTCCATGCTAGCGTACAAACCTAAACAGCGAACTGTTCTCACGTCTTGTACAGTGTAGGGCAAAAACACATAAACGAAGGTCTACATTTCACTGTCTCTTCATATTAAACTGGTTAAATGTTAATTAATTTAATCGTACCCTGTCATACATGAACAGTGTTGATCCGGGATGTTGTCATCTGCAATCGTGACGACGGCAATATGCGACTTCTCCCGCTTGCATTGTAATCTGTAAACCCTCACTTCCAAATTAATACCCACAATATTTATTTTAAAATCTTTTATATATCCCTCCATGGAATATTTAAGTCCCACTTGAATGGTGGTCCTTCTGTGTCCAAAATTTATCAAAAAGCTATAGGGACAAGGTTTTCACACTGACAGCTGTCATTAGCAACTCCGTTTGTTTGTCCGAGTTTGCAACAGTAATTAAGGGGTGCGGGGCTTACCGATAGGTCAATTGAAAGGTTCTACACTCTTAAAAACAAAGGTTCCAAATGTGATGTCATAGAAGAACCATTTTGAATTCCCTAAAGTGAACAGTTCTTAAAGAGATAGTTGACCCAAAAATGAAAATGTACTGTTAATTTAGTCACCCTCAGGTCATCCAAGAAGTAGGTGCCTTTTTTCTTCAGTAGAGCATTAAAGAAGATTTTTAGCTGAACCCACCATGGTCCTTGGTGATTCATAAAATGCAAGTCAGCAGCTACGCGTTTTTTGAGAATAAAAAAAAACATATCAAGGAACTTAAAATTAAAACCCGTGGTTCCTAGCGATATATTGAGGTCTTATGAAGCGAAACGATTAGTTTGTGCAAGAAAACTGAACATTATTTACAACATTATTACCTGTAATCTAGAGCCTTTTGGACAGTTCATATCTTGTTTAAATAACTGATTCACCAGTTCGTTTACATAATGACTCGATGCAACGTATACGCAACTATTAAGGAGCAGGTCATATGGGTTTTCGAAAAATATCTCTTTTGCAGTTTGTAAGGTAGCTATCCTTCAATGTAAACAGTCTGCAAAGTTGTTAATCAAAAAAGTGCATGATAAATAAAGATATTGTCTCTCAAAAGAAAGAGTCGACTCAGAATCGCCTTAACGAGTCGTTATATTTTCGAATCTTCTGCCTGTTACCGATCTACGTCACTGGGTAACACATTAGCATAATCCCCTCCTGCCCACGAAATACGAACTCTCTCTGTGTCGAGAAGATGCTGTGTTCCACAATACCACAGCAATACAACAACCGTGGACTTGGCAACACAGATGGTAGCGCTCGCTAACTTGCTCAAGCTCTCCTCTTTGTGCCAATCACAACAGCCTTGGCCAGCTGACCAATCAGAGCAGAGTAGGCTTATGGAAGGGAGGGGTTTACAGACATTTAGCTCAGAACTGAATCGAACGAACCGTTTCGAAATCATGGACAAATCTCTATGCATAAATGTATATTCTGGGAAAATTACAGTGTTTTCTGACCTTAGATGCATTTAAACCTGTTGTAGGGGACTCCAACACAATATTAGGACACTTTAAAATACCATATGACCT